TATTCTAGGGATCAGACCCTATAACTATAAGAGATGAGTATGCTTGTTGCAAAAGGCAGCGTATACCAACCGCATTGCAAAGTTGTTTCAAGTAAGTAATGTGTTCTGATTAAAACGACGTAAAGTAACCCCAGTGTGACATTTCAGATTTGCATACAAACTTCAGACAATTGAAGAATTCATGTAGGTGATTCATATACGGCATTATACTATCATGAAAGTTCATCTGTGTTGGTAGTTACATAATGGTTAAAACGTTTGGTCCAACACAAAAAATTATCTCACCTAGAGCTTTCGACCAGTCGGACATTTTGTTTCACTTGACACTGCAAGGATTTTAGATACTGAACAAGACTATTTCTTGAGAGGGGTGAAGGAAGCCATATACATCAGGGCCCATCACCCTACATTGAACCGCGACGGGGGCCGACATCGTCTACCAGATACCTTTGACTCACGTGACAAGCTTCACTGGGTCAGTCTACTGAGGAAGACCAGAGTGACTGGTCGAAAGCTCTAGGTGAGAGAATTTTTTGTGTTGGACCAAAAGTTTTAACTTTCAACACAAGGCATTATATTCTTTTGTTCTGTAGGGTGGTCTTGCTTTCCATCTGCATTGCCATCGAGGCGATTGTGATGATTATGCTCGTTTGCCAGTATTCCCAAAACATCAACGATCTTGGAGAAGGTGCTGAAGGAGAGGAGGCTGACGAAAAAAAGGCGGAAAGAGAGGAATGTCTCAAAAACATTAATATTGCTGCTACCGTGATGTGCGCTCTGCTGGTGTTACTCAACATCGTCATTGTTGCCTTATCCGAAAACCAAGCTTGACTGTGCGTGACTATCCTTTGAATAGTTATGATAATGATTGGGCTCAACACTAGAATGCCAAATGAATTCTGAAGTTCTTGTCACAAAATACAAACTATGCAAGGATGTAACACCTTTTCAATTGTGATTGATGGTTCAATTTGTGTGATGTGTGGTCTTTGAATATGGTAGGTTTCGCTAAATTTAAAAAAACTAGGGATAGATGTTTACATTTTGTGTTGAAGTGGCCTTTATTTGCCTGAGAAACAACTAGCTATGCTGTTGACTGTAAGATTTCAGTAAATCGTCAGTGACGATACTGTTTGTTGGTTTGTGTGTTGGTTCTGTACCAGGATGTAATATCTTTTCCATTGTAACGCTAAACATGTACTTATTATTCCGCCAACATTTTAAAGGTGTTACACAGTTCATTTTCCTAGGACTGATAAAAATGTTGTTTGTTTTAATTTATGCTAAAACGCCCACTTTGTATCTGGATAGCAATGCTGTGTGTTCAATGTATGGTCACTATGGTGAAACGCCCACTCAGTACCTTGATGTAGATATTGTGTGTTTAAATGTATGGTGACACGCCCACTCTGAACCTTCACAGATCTGTTGTGTGTTTAAAATAGAAAGGTTGTGTGTGTGTTTTAACTGTGACACAAAACACTTCCTGGAAGTCTTAAATATTTGATCATTTTAAACTGTGAATTACAAACTCAATGATATATATTTCCAAATGTTGTCACAGGGACTTTTATCGCTATGTTTCCCAGTAGTTTATTGAAATGTTCTAAATCTGTATACGTCACACGGCTTCAATAAAATTGGGGGTGAGTGTAGGAATCGCCTTGCAAATGAGATTTAATAGTTGATGACACTTGGGACTAGACAAAGAGGTCGTGATCACTAGCAGACTGTATACAAAGGGGTAACACCCCCGTCACACAGCGAGAAATAAACTTGATCAGCCGACGAGTCTGTGAGCTCAAATTGAAAGTTTCAGCAGTAATATACGCTCGGTGCTATCTCGATCATCGTGCGATTTTTAGGAATCGCAAATCATGACAGGGAAACTTACAAATGTAGTATGGAAGTAAGGACTAGAATAAAGAATTGGACGGTAACATTTCATTTTCAAAATTCACCAAGAGTGCACAAGGCAAGCGTTATTATGCAGCGTTTTTCACTTTTTGCTGTGTAGGATGGGGGCGGAGCTACGTACAACAAACAGGGATTGTTAAAACGCATCCCTAGTTGCTCAAATAAAACTGTTTAAGACCTACCATATATTATACACAGAACCAACACATAAACTAACGGACAATAGCTTTGTGCGCTTAAGTAATTTTTCTAACTTCACATTAGAAAAGACATTACATCCCTGTATAGTTTGTATTTCGTGACTAAAGCATCAGGATGCATTTGGTACTAAAGTTACCGCAGAAACCACATGACCCTTGAACTGGCCATTTTACTGGTTGCCTATCAGGTAGCTGTTCAAATACACGGTCAAGGTTCATGTGGTTTCTGTTTCTGTAGCTGTTTATGATAGCCACATCTCTTTGTGCCGCTGGCAAGGTAATGGTTACAGTGTCGTATATGTTGTACTCGTACCTGAACTAGTGTCGCGAGGGTGGAAAACAGAGTCAACCGCGTTCTACCGATTTTAAACTGTAAACTGTAGACTTTATTAAGCAATCAACTTTGTAGTCTTTAACAAGACTAAATTGGGTTGATTTTACATTTCATTTATAAAAAAAACATTAAATTTAAAATACCATTAGTTTAAAAAGACAGCGAATTTCCGATATTGTTAAAATCTCTCAACATTAAACAAAATTATACAACACAAGTACAAAGATTTCGCGGGCATTACATTGACGAAAGAGTCTAGGTATGAAAGACAATTTTAAACGATCGATCTTATACTCGTTTCGGTGCAAAGGATGTTACAATTAGCTTTGACACTCAAACTCCCGCGATCGTTAACTACACACATGCATACAGAATTTAAGATGACGCGAAGAAGCAGAAAAAGAAGAAAGAAATCTCAACATCACGAATTACTTATCGTGCTAAGCACTCTGATGGTGTTTATTAACGTCACCATCGCTGCTTTGGTTCGGAAAACCTTACGTAAGACTTGACTGTGTGTGGATCCGGATACCGCTAGAAATGTTACCTTTATAGTTACTGAACTCCGATCCATCTAGTCACTAGCTTCAGCAACGCATGCACCCGATCGCTTTTTATGACGAAGTACATACTGAGGTACACACTGATCAAGAATATAATCATATCTATATGGGTCACGGTTCACAAATTTAAATCAAGCTACACAGTGAGTGAACGTTTCCCTATACATTGAAAGAAAGGTAATTTTTATCAGGCCTAGGAAAATTAAAGTTGTATAGTTGTACATAACCAACACACAAACCAACAACCAACAGCTTTAAACATATTGGCAAAAGTAGTAAGTGGGTACTTAGCTTCACAATAGAAAAATATATATACAGTTGTACAGTACAAACACACAAGTCAACCAACAAGGGTGTAAGCAAAATTTTGGCAGAAGTACATGTAATGAGTAGGTGGACAGCTTCACAAAAGAACTTTTCAAATGCTTTTACAAGTTCTCTTATCGCTATGATGACTACTGCATTGATGTACAATAATGTATGACAATAATGTATGACAAATGATCATCTTGGTTGATCTTCACGAAGCTTTGCCTTTGTGCACTTCTCATGAAGTTGTTAAAATGACCTGTTATTCGTAGATACGCTCAGCTCTTTCAAAGCTTTTACATTTGGCGACCTTTCGGTGATCAAGAAACACAGCCGAAGCTTGTCGAGCATACAATATGAGGCTGGCTTTAGGACAGGTGAAGAATGGAGGAAGCTGATGGTAGAAACAACCAGAGTCATCGACCCTTAGATGGGGGGTGGGACTAGGTGAAGGTGAAGTTAAGTGGTGAAACACCGACTCTGTAACGTAATCAATGTTTCAATGTATGGTGACTTGTGCTATGATGAAACACCGACTCTGTAACGTGATAGAAATGTTTGTGTGTTTCAATGCACGGTGATTATGGTGAAACGCCCACCGAGATCAAAAAATTTTGTTTCAATGTATGGTGTTATGGTGACACGCCCTCTCTGTAAAAATCCATAGATGCTCTTCACTTTAACTGTGACTCAAAACACTTCCTTGACCAGGAAATGTTGTTTGTTTCAAACGCCCACTCTGTAACGTGATAGTAAGGCCATTGACAATGCCGTATATATAAAGCACCTCCACCAGTGTCGCGAGAGTGGCTGACAGAGTCGATCGGCACGTTCCACCAATTTTAAACGACAGATCTTTTGCTTGTAACGTTCTATCATCAACTACTAAAATCACATTTCGAAACATCACTACCATGGCCAATAACGACAGATTGAAGACCACTGCCGAGGCCCTGATGGATATCGGCCTGTTCACTAGTAACGTCTCCCAGATAGTGGCCATCACCAGATCAGAGGGCGGTGTCAACACGGGCGAGGAGACTGCAAGGTAAGAAATGTAGAAGGGCACAAAACAATTCTCCGTTCATACTTACAGAATTTGGGGCTCTGCCCCGGGCCCTATAACTAAGAGATGAATATGTCCTTTTCCTAACTTTACCAACTACCTCGCAAAGTTGTGTCAACCAAGTTATGTATTTAGACTTGATTATTTATCAATTTTTTTAGTTGAGATAGGAAATTCAATTCTGTATCTATCTGTATGTAGAGAAATAATGCGATACGTTTGAGACAACTGTTATCACGTGTGAAAGTAGTTATGACGGGTTTCGACTAAAATTGTTTTTCGAAATAAAAACTGAGATAAATAGCTGAAGCTATGTGTTTTGTATTTTAATGTCGTAACTCGGTATGTCTACCCCTGTGAGGATATGCCACATTACAAGAAATGGGTTAGGGATGATAGCAAACTACCCCCCTCCCCCCAAGACAATTGATTTGTTTCATACACGTCAGGTGATTCTCGTCAGTTCACCTTGTCCTTCTCTTCTGTAGGGTGGTGTTACTTGGCATCGGTATGCTGCTCCAGGTGGTTCTGATGATCATATTCATCTACCAGGGTGTCATGGCTGGGAAGATAAATGTCATTCTCCCTGCCGGTGCCCTTCCTCCCCCTCCCCCTAAAAGAGGGCTCGATTTCGCTGTCAACGTGCTGGTCCTCCTGGTATGCCTCCTTAACGTTACTATCCATATTTTGGAACACGAGGCTTGAGAAGTCCGTGTATGACTTCTCAGACTTCACAGACATGCTTGGTGTTTCTGTGACTGTCTGTTCTGAGAATGTCTAATTGATGATTCGATTCCTCTGCCAGTCTGCCCTCTTCAAAGTTTTCTGATTTAGGTGTGTACCTATTATAGGTACCTAGTGTGTACCTAGGAATAAGTGGTGTGGGTTTGGTCCCCCTAGCAGCTTGTTCAGAAACTGCAGGGGACTTTCGGGCGAAATCTTTGAAAGCCAATATTATATATAAAGTCCAGATAGGAACAGCGTATTTTCATCATTTTTGGTGTGTAGGTATCTGACAGAGAGATGTACATAATTAACTGCAAATTATGCAAATGAGGACTTTATTTGCATAATTAATGAGGAAATTCTATAATTACAGTGTTTTACATTATAGAACTTTCATACATGTAATGTATGTAACCTATGGCAGATGGAACATCAACAGATACTAATTATGCAAATGATCACCTAATTTGCATAATTAATGCAAAAAATCTATGATTTCTCAATGGTGAATGATGGGAATGTCATACTTGGGACATCTTTAAGTTAATCAAAAGTTAACATCACGATGCATATATTATGTTAATGCAGAGGTCATTTGCGTAATTAAAGAAGAAATTCACATTTACATATCAAGCCCATATTTCATGGAGGTATGAGATCTCGGAACTCTTGTTTAACTTGTTATGACGTCCAAAACAAACAGGTAAGCCGGAACTTTCTGCGGACGGTAAACGGTTCACACAATAAATGTCATGACTTACAACTTTAAGTTTGGGGCTATATTATATCATACACGTACATGTAGGCCAGCTATAACTACCTCCCCAATCATTTGGAAATCCGAAGGTCTTCAAAAATTTACGATGCACACATGACCTTGAGGCTTTGTCTTTGTTCTCACACCTAGCGCCATGCATGCACACACCATCTGTATCAGTATAGCCAGTATAACCGGCGCCCTTCGGCGTATCACACCAGCTTCTATTTAATGGCAGGTACGCGGCGAGGCTGCAGCTGGCTACATTACACCGAACGACATGTTACACCTAACCCTTGAACATCTAACTGTAAACATTGTTTAAATCTATCTAATGATACACAATACCTTAACAGGTAAGGCGGCTAGGTGTGAACTATTGACTTCCCGTCAACTGAAACATCGTAAATCTAATAATATGTGAAATGTCATCATTTTTACAGTCAGCTTTGTACGACCAAGTTAGCGTATGTATGATACGTTTATTAGTAGGACGGCTTGTACTGGTCTGACTGGGTCAGTCTGGTGGTGTTGGGTGACTGTGTGTACAAGTTGAAAACAATGACCGGGTCATAAAGGTTCACGTGGTTTCTGTTTCTGCGGCTTTTCTTGCCTTTCTTGTATTCACCGTTGGCAAGGCAATGCCTCACATGCCGTTTTTGCTGTGCTGGTATCAGTGTCGCTCGGGTGGCTGGCAGAGTCGACGCGTTCTGCCTATTTTCAAAGATCGATCTTGTTCTCCTTTTCGTAACACCAAAACTGCATTTCAAAACATAAATAATGTCGCGAAGAATAACAGACGCTGACCGTTACGCCTCCATGAAGACTTACATCGAGGGACTGGTGGACACCAGCTTGTTCACCAGTAACGTCGCACAGCTAGTGGCGATCACCAGGTCAGAGGGCGGTGTCGACACAGGCCACGAGATTGCAAGGTAAGAAATGTAGTAGGACATAGAACAGTTCACTAGGTTTTTATTCTAGGGATCAGAACCTATAACTATAAGAGATGAGTATGCTTGTTGCAAAAGGCAGCGTATACCAACCGCATTGCAAAGTTGTTTCAAGTAAGTAATGTGTTCTGATTAAAACGACGTAAAGTAACCCCAGTGTGACATTTCAGATTTGCAGACAAACTTCAGACAATTGAAGGATTCATGTAGGTGATTCACATAAGGCATATACTATCATGAAAGTTCATCTGTGTTGGTAGTTACATGTTTAAAGTTAAAACTTTTGGTCCAACACAAAAAATTCTCTCACCTAGAGCTTTCGACCAGTCGGACATTTTGTTTCACTTGACACTACAAGGATTTTAGGCACTGAACAAGTTAGACTATTTCTTGAGAGGGGTGAAGGAAGCCATATACATCAGGGCCCATCACCCTACATTGAACCGCGACGGGGGCCGACATCGTCTACCATGTACCAGATACCTTTGACCCAGTGTTGACGTCACACTTCAAAGAAGCCACGTGACAAGCTTCACTGGGTCAGTTTACTGAGGAAGACCAGAGTGACTGGTCGAAAGCTCTAGTTGAGAGAATTTTTTGTGTTGGACCAAAAGTTTTAACTTTCAACACAAGGCATTATATTCTTCTGTTCTGTAGGGTGGTCTTGCTTTCCATCTGCATTGTCATCGAGGCGATTGTGATGATTATGCTCGTCTACCAGTATTCCCAAAACATCAACGATCTTGGAGAAGGTGCTGAAGGAGAGGAGGCTGACGAAAAAAAGGCGGAAAGAGAAGAATGTCTCAAAAACATTAATACTGCTTGTACCGTGATGTGCGCTCTGCTGGTGTTACTCAACATCGTCATTGTTGCCTTATCCGAAAACCAAGCTTGACTGTGCGTGGCTATCCTTTGAATGGTTATGTCGTTATGAAAATGATTGGACTCAAAACTAGCTTGAGTACCAAATGAATTCTGAAGATTTTATCACAAAATACAAACTCTGCAACGATATAACATATTTTCTGTTGTGATTGTTGGTTTAATTTGTTGGTTGGTTGGTTGGTTGCCTGTGAATATGATAGGTTTCTCTAAAAAAACAGGGATAGATGTTTACATTTTGTGTGTGCTGAAGTGCCCTTTTGCCTAACAAACAACTAGATATAACTGTTGACTGTAAGATTTCAGTAAATCAAGTAAATTAGTGTAAATTGGTAAATTAAGTAAAATAGAAATGCTGTGTGTTTCAATGTATGGTTACTAAGGTAACACGCCAACTCAATGACTTGATAAAAATGTTGTTTGTTTAAATGTATGATAACACGCCCACTCAGTAACTTGATAGTAATGTTGTGCTTTAACTATGACACAAAACACTCACTGGAAGTCTGAATCTTCGATCATTTTGAACTGTCAATTACAAACTCTATGATATATATATGTATGCATTTTCCGAATGTTGTCGCAAATACATTTTATCGTTATGACCGTGAACTTTATTGCATCTTTGTATTTTCGTTTCTATAGTAGTTTCCAAGTAGTTTATAGAATAACTTTTAAATCCGTACGTCACACCGGTACCTCACCGCGGACGGCTTGATTAAAGCTGATGCTGGCGGTGGTTTAGGAATCGCCTTGCAAAGGAATCACCGAGCCCTCTTAAATTTGATAGGGTGAAAATGATTCTCTGGTGAAAATACGCTATATTCTCTGGTGATTTTTAAAGTTGGCGACCTTATATTATAATTTTGGCGATCAACAAATACGGCCGAACTCATGCTTTATATTTATATTAATATTGACTACGTGACGGCGGGTTTACAAAAGGGAATTCACAACTTTAATCACAACATAACAGCAATTTCATAAACAACACAACAGCAATTTTATAACAAAATAGCATAATAACACGGTTATCAAATCGACAATGTGAATAGCATATTTAAAAACTGTTCCACTAATCGTCAGCCACGGCAACAATAAACAAAACACAGTTAGCTGAATGTTAAAAACCGTCATCTGGAATACTAGTACACCAGCAATACCGTAACATACACAATATCGTCATAGATAAGTCACACCAGTTCCAGTTCTAACTCCAGCATACCACGCACCATCGTCAGACGGACCATCTTTCCTATATATATAGTCAACGACTTTCATGACACGATAAGTATAAAGTGAAATCAATTGTCATTCCCACACTGATCCCACCGGAACATCCCTAACCATCTTTCTAAACGTGCCATGCATACATTTGTAACAGCATGTCAAAGGCGAACAAGACCGTAATATATACACAGCATCGTCAGCTGCCGATAAAAAAACGTCACCCGTTTGAGTATATAGCAACAGGGCCATTCCAGAGTGTATTATAAACAAACAGGTCAATGACGCCTTCGCTACTACCGTCTTTGGCACTCGAAAACACAGATGAAAAAAAAAAAACATCCGCATAACTCCACAACAAAACCATATCATTTTCCGAACTGAACACTGTATCAACAGGGTCCAACAGGGATCAAAATTTTCTTCTGCAACTACATGTAGCTTATAACCTGTACATCGATATATCTTTGTTGTCCCCGTCACACACGAAGTTATGAACTTGTATTTATCCCATTGGAAAGACGTGCGTTGGAACTCGAAATGCCAACCAAAACATTTCCTACTTTTGGACTTTGCAACCGTTAAAATTAAGTAAATGCGGTACTGTAGGTGTTGACAGCTGCGCCCAGTTGTATCTGATGTCTTTGAAACAACAAATCTGCGTTCTGTCGAAAACCTGATTTGTATTGAACAGACACCCCTTTGTGGCCATAAAGCTCTACCATTTTCAAGGAAACCCCATCATCTGCAGCCCCATACTGACAAAACGTATATCAAATCCCAGAGCTAGAGAAATCCGTCCACCCCACCATGAGATACAGCTGCTAACATGAAAACGTCGTAACCATTCCGCGGAAGGATATCTCCTTCCTGGAGGTAATAATATATGTCTCATGAAGATGTCCGGATGCAACATAGCCCTGCGTAATTGTACAGTCTTCATAGTGATTGCCTATCATATAAAGGTAACCGCAAAAAAACAACATTTTTTTTATATTCCAACATATAATCACAAGACGTGGTGACGGTACACTCAATTTTTTTTCAACTTATATGTATTAATGCCGCCACCAACACAGGAGACAATACAATACTCATTTTCACCTGAGAGAAGTGAGGAAAGTCGTGTAAAGTGCCTTTCCCAAGGGCACAAAATCAGTGGCATGTCAGGACTCGAACCCGGGACCTCTTGATTCCGAGTCGAGCACTCTGTCGCTACGCCACACGACACCACGACAACAATTTTTGTTTATGTTGGTTAATATGCTAGTGTTAAAGACCATCTCCTCATCATATGCATGTACTAGTAGTTTTTAATGTAATCTTTCTAAATGTGTCTTCCATATCTTTAACACTACTGCCGTTGTATTACAGCTGAGTGACTCTCTACTTGCTCTACCATTTGTACACTTCACATGTACGATGTACTACTCCTCCCCCAGTTTCCCTACAGGACAGTCTCATCGCATCTGTATTCCCACTCCTGTCTGTCGTTGAGTAGGATGTAATGTCCTATCTGAGGGAAGGGAGTGAAAATTTCAATTTCAGTCACAGAAATTTGTATCAACTCTACTAGTACTGCTATGAGTATCAGGCCTGTCGTCAAAAAAAGACGCACTACTGTAACAAAATGGAACAGTCAAAATGAAGGAAGAGTCGTATTATTGATGAAGGTCCAGGTAAACAATACTTATAGGCAATTTAAACTCTACTACCACTAGATAAATCACATTTCAAAAGAAGGAGAAAATGTAAGTCTCCACTCACTGTAGTTTTTTTAGGTGGAACCTCTATAGTGTAGTCCAGGTCATCTCTGTGGCTGCTGCAGTTTTTACTGCCGCTGCAGTCGAGCCTCACTGTAGCCTTCCTGTCAGCCTGCAGAAAAAGAAAATCAATAGGCAAGTATAAAGATGTTCACTACCAAATGATGGCAAATCCTCATTATTTCCAGAAGTGTGGGTTGTTCTGATGATACTCGTCTAATTCATTTCTCAGGATGTGCATCAAGTACAGCATTTTCTATTGATCTTTCAGGTAGATTTCGGTGCTATGATCCGGCATGCATTTGTCATACATTCAGACAGCCCATGTACTTGAAGCAGCTCTTTACCATGCATAAATCATTGCTGCAGTAATCAAAGTCTCCTTCGGGTTATAAGACTACCCTTATATTTCAGGATATTCACATATTATAGTTAGAAGTGCATGAACCTTGTTCTCTACAGCTGTAATGATGCGGGAGCCAGTTCTGTAGGTGTACAGGACCACGTCCTTCCCTCCCTTGGACGTCAGGGGCTGGGGAGCACCTTTACTACTGACTAACCTGCTCACAATACAACAGGTGTAACAAACATCAGACAAACATGCACTCATCAACTTCCCTGATGTTCCTATAGAAAGAATTGAATTCGGGATCAAGACAATCAGTCTGGCAGTTTACAATGTAGGTGATTAAAATAACTCTACGCATTGTATTTGAACTGCTGGATGAGAGTATTCAACGTTTTATATGTCGACGAAAAAGATCATGCTACTTTTTATGTTATGATGTCTGCAATTGATGTTTAAGTTTCTAATAACGATTCAAAATTCCATACTTGCACATGGCATCTTCGATGTTCCCCAACAAACCACCCATGACCATCTTTGGTTCACACCTTTCTGCATAGATGTCGATCACAAAGGGACAGGCCTGTATCGTACAACATAACATACATGTCAATCGATAAAAAATGGACATGCTACGTAAAGCTATACAAAACCATAGCTAAACCAAGCTCCACTTGCATATGAGCAATAATAAGTATTTATTGAATGATATTCAAAGGAAAATCTATTACATATTTAATAGTTCACCTCATCCTGTCTGAGGGCTTTGTTGTATCCCATGCTGCTCGGTGTTACCCATAATTCCTTCGTGTTCCCCTCGCTGCCCCGTGCGTCCATCAAGTTCAAGAATGTGAAGCCCTTTTTGGTCAGCTCTCCTTTCTTCATCTCAAAATTTTCTGTCAAAAATCAGATCCACAGACTTTCATCCTTTTCCCTACCATACTTCTGTCAGGCACAAAACACTGACTCCTTTTAGAAAATGTTGACTGAATGCAGAACATACGATTTGGTCAATTTTTCACTATACTCAAATAAAAGTACCTTGTATTCCATATCTCTGGATGCTGAGTTTTTTTATTTTTTTTATTTTTTATTATTAGAACAGTCAAAAAGAAAAGAGAAATACAGACGAGATGGCGACGCACTCAAGTTACATCAAACTTATATCAACGCCGCCATCCAACACATAACATTTGAACAAAGGTGTAAACAATTGACTAAATAAATAAATCAAATCAACAAAATGGGGTAACTTAAGTATAAATCAGGATAAGCGCAAGTCCATTCTCCCCTCCCTTAAAAATATTGGTAGGACACAAGTAAAATCAATCAGAGGTAAAACGACCAGTTAGGACAATGAAATTTTGGGTTAAACTCATAATTTCACAATTAATTTTAAAGCTACAAAAAGATAATCCATAAAGAAGGAGCTGATTTAGATCGTAATGAGAAAGAGAGTTTATGTCCAAAATGTGTCCCACCACCCTTGAAAGTTGGCCGAAGAGAAGAAGACGCTGATTAGTGTATACTGGGCAGTGAAGCAAGAAGTGGGAGACGGTTTCGCATCTGCACCCACATCTACAAGCTGGACTATCAACAAGTCCTCGACAGAAAAGACTGGCGTTCAAGCCGCAGGTGCCTATGCGAAAGCGTGCTAAGAGAACAGAGGCGTAACGGGGGCCATAACTAAAGTGTCTGACTTTAACAGGGCGAACAGATTTCAAAAGGTGTATTCGAAACATCGGATAGCGAAAGCTGCGTGTTGACGAATCTAATTTGTTCCAATGACTTAAAGAGTACGGAAGAAAAGACTTCGCAAAACGATTTGTAGAAGCGTAGAGTGATCTTAAGTTACTCTTGTTGCGAAGGTCATACGAACATGTTGATGAAAAATTTGGAGGAATTAGGTCAGACAGATAACTGCGAGTAGCACCATGAATGATTTTATGAAACAACAGAAGGCGATGGATGTGTCTTCTGTCAGATAAAGTCTCCCAGCCGAGTTCTTTGCGAGTAGAGAAGTACGACGATCCTTTGACAGCACCTGATACAGTGAGAGAACAATAATACTGAATACGTTCTAAGAGCTGAGATTCCTCACATGCACAGCTGTGCCAAACGATATCTCCGTACTCTAAGCAGGGACGAATAAAAGACTTGTACAACGTTTCCAGAACATTCCGAGGAAGTTTAAATTTTAATCCCTTAAAAGTGGCAAGGCTTTTAGAAATTTTGGACAACATGTTGTTGATATGAGGTTTCCAAGACATATCAGAGTTTAGTGTGACCCCAATATGCTTGTGAGACACAACAGACTTAATAGTACAGTTATTTGAAAAGAGAGGAGGGTGTACTGAATCAGATCGTTTGGTAGAAAAACACATTTCTTCTGTTTTAACTGGAGTAAGTTCCATTAACCATTGAACAGCCCACGAATGAATTTTTTCCAAATCAGCATTTAAACAAGCAGCAGAGTAAATTTCGTTGTCAACAACATGAAGAAGAGAACTGTCATCAGCAAAGAGGAACGGCCGGCTGGGAAACAAGATTTTCCACGATGTCGTTAATGTAGATGAGAAAGAATAAAGGACCTAATATAGACCCTTGTGGAACACCTGCAGAAACATTACGCCAAGAAGAAGATTTACCGTCGATTACAACTCTTTGAGATCTGTCGCCAAGATATGAAAAAATCCAGTTAATAAGAGGCCCTTCAATACCATTTCTTTGAAGTTTAAAAACATGACCACGATGCCACACTTTGTCGAAAGCCCTAGAAAAATCGAGAAAAACCGCTCGGACTTCTTTTCCGGTATCAAGGGCTTTTAGAATAACATGGCAAAAATACACTAATTGACAAATAGTGGGTGCTGAGTTTGTGGATAGTTATAATTCTATAGATCTACAGTGAATCCATCAAGTATGCAAGAGGAATAGTTACTGTAGTTTTGAACAAATTTTGCTAAATGTAACTATGAAAATAAAATCGAATACAGGTCACTTAGCTAGATATACCGGTATATTCAGAAACAAACAAACAAACAACAAACTTTACCCTCCACGAATTGCCATGCCTCGTCGTCCACCTCCCTCCCACTGCGCAGCTGGAACAGGTTAAACTCCTCCCGACTCAGCAGGCCGTTACCATCAAGGTCAAGGATCTCAAAGATGTCTGTCAGAGTGTCCCTAATTAATGCACGGGAAAAACACAATAAGTTCCAGTGCATCATACTTTAATATAGCACAGGGGCATGCTTACACTGGTACCAGAGTACGGAAATACAAAATAGTATAAAAATGGATGTGTTAAACAAAAATCTGCATTTTACAAATTAACTGGAAAATGATCCTGAACACCAGTACTGTATGATTTCACGAACATGCAAATGTAAAGTTAAGGTATAATGAGTTTTTTTTAACTAGTTTTCCCGACTAGAGAAAAACGACTCTTCTAATAACCTTTTTAAAGTAACTTTACTCACCTGAAAGGTCTGGACAGTTCGATCTCCCCAGACGGGGAGATGTCGACCAGTGGGACCTCCTGTTCGGGCTGAGACTCTCTCTTCCGTAACCTGCAGCCAGTGGTGAACGGCAGCAGTCGGTACGATCCCGCCCGCAGGTCACACCGCAGGCAGTACTTCTGCAACAGTCCAAGCTTCCAGGTGAACATTCTGTACATATGTTATAATCTCTGCCATCTATTGCCAGTTTTTTTCAACCTTGCAAATAAACAATGTGTGCCGTATCCACGTGGACAATAATGGTTTACCGCAATGGCAACAGGCTCATGGCAATTTGCATGCTACTGGTAAGGGTTGCACTCAGAAGGGACTGTCTTGGTTCCGTGTTCAACTTACATCATAAACCAGTAATGCAATTTCCCAAAAATGCTCACACTGAGACTTAATTGCAAATTGCTGCAATTACTAAACGGAAAAACAAGATATGTCAACAAAATTGTCAAGTGACATAATGCGTTGAAGAGAAACCAATGACAAAAAAGGGACTGTATGAAAGACATTCCCACAAACCTCTCCATCCCTGTTGTCTTTAAACTGGATGGATGTGCCCCTGTCTACATCGACCAGTGTGATGTCAACTGGATCATCTATAGCAGGGTTATACGGGTAACGTCACAATATCAATGATTGCTGATGAGAAGAACCCACGAGTCAGTGCTAGAAACCTTGCGACACTTCCACAAAAGTGTGTGGAGCAAATATGTTAACTCTGTATTATGCGATTATTTGCGATTGCATGGCCCTGTATTGATTCTTATGTGATTGTAAAACGATAGTTAACACTGCATCAATTCAGAGCACAAAAAGTCTGCGATTGCACAGGTAATTGACCAATAAACCAAGCTAGATATAAACATAATATGAATATTTTACTTTCCTCTTAGGCCACACCGATTTAATTTTATGGATGACATCCTCTGAAGACCCCCAAACTAGTGCGCGCGGGCGAATAAAAAAATTCCGGCCAAAAATAAAAATGCTACTAAACCACAGGAATACAAAGCTCAGCGTGGTATTGTGAATTCCCGACAGTACATAGTGACGTATACGACATGCCGGCACATGCTGGCTTTTTGTGGCATTTATGAATCGGTACTATACTTATGTACTGAGTTCTTGAGTCGTGGAGCTTCGAATTCGATAGCCTGGGTTCTTGGCTCCGTTTTGTCGCTGACTACCATGGACTACCCTGGCCTAGAGCCAGGCCAGAGCCTCGGTGGAGGTGATCTTTTTTTTTTTGAGGGCGACAGGCGAAAATCAATGCGCGCACGGATGTCATCCATAAAATTAAGTCGGTGTGGCCTTACTTTAAAAATGGTACTGCGCGCTAGCTTGTAAATTATCTTTCACAAAAAAGGTACCTGCAACTGACGAACGAAATTGTTCCTGTGCAATTTGCAATCATCGCATGGCCCTGTAATGATACATTCTAGTAGGGAAACCTACATGTACCTTACGGTATAAAAAACTGCACTGCTTATGTCTTGATCTGATGATTGATCCTAACCTGTATTCTCCCTGTGTGGATGAACAGTGATCCACACGTTAGTGGCGCATGGTAGGTCCAACTTGTACTCATGGCTGATGATCGATTCCGCCTCAACGTAGAGACAACCTTTTCTCTTGATATGTTTCCAGCTCTGAGAGAAACAAATAACCTTTGTCGTCAGTCCTGGCAAAATTCTACCCCTTCTTCAAAGTGGAAAGATCGTATTCTACAGTACCCTTTGTACCATCAAAATACATTGTACAATGTATGTATGCGATAACAATATATTTTTGTGTGTTTTGCCCCTGATCTTACCTCCAGGTTCTCGGGTTTTAAGTTGACATTCCTCCTGGATTCAGAAGACTCCCTGGAGATTTCTGTCACATATGCTGGACCAGGACCTGGTACTGGTTTTGGAGCCTCATGATCTGGAAGAAGAAAATCATACTGAACTGAAATTCTAAATTCTAATTCTAAATTCTAATTAGAATCACTAAATTATGTCAACGAATGTGAAATATTCTGAGAACCTACTTCCGTAAATGCTTAATGTTTCTTACATTCTTAGGCTAATAATTAGTCAAAATTCACCTCTGATGACAGCCTATATAATCGACTTACACAGACAACAGCATTGTTATGAAAACGATTTGTACACATGTACAAATGTGCCATTCATCATCACTGGCTAGCTTAGTTCAGGGACTTGAATCTTGAATTCAAAGCATCATTTTGCACCAGTATCCACCACCATAAAAGGAAGCAACAACTAGAGTTCCACGACCACATATCTTCGCCAAATGATATGTTAATCTTTATGACATAATTATGTCAAGCGTCACTTGATCTACCTACATACCAAAAATCACAACGGTCCGTTAACAGGTTCTTGAGTTATCATGTTTTGAATATTTTTAAAGCCCCTGCAGTTCCTGAGCAAGCCGCTAGGGGGCATAAAACTACGCCACTTCTTCCCCAGTACAAGACCTGCCTACTTTTCAAATTTCGTGACCCTAGCACGTCCAGATCATGAGATATCAAAACCCGAAGTTCCGCTGCAGTACTACAACAAGATGCTAGGGGGCCCAAAATCTAATCATTTTTAGGTCTCACCAAGACCTACCCACCTACCAAGTATGAAGACAATCCATTTAAGCCTTCTTGAGTTATCGTGCTTACAGACACATGCACACACACACACACACACACACACACACACACACACACACACACATACACGAACGCCTCTGAAAACATTGGCAAAGGTCATTATGATGTTTGGTAGATGGGTAGGTGTTGATGAGACCTCGAACTATGATGATTAGGTTTTGCCCCCCTGGCTTCTTGTTATAGAACTGCAGCAGAACTTCCGGTTTTGATATCTCGTGAACTCGACATGCTAGGGTCATGATTTTTTTATGGTAGTTTACTAAGCTCTTGTGCTCGGGAAGATCTAGAAGTGACGTAATTTTTGGCCCCTAGCAGCTTGTTTGGGAACTACAGGGCCATTTCATCATTACTTATGCAAATGAATTCATTATTTGCAAAATTTGCATCCAATAGTGTACATCTCTGTCGAAGCTACCCTCATCCAAAAAATCAGAAAAATACATTGTTCCTATGTGAATTTATCTTGTCTCTGAAAGGTTTCGCCAGAAACGCCCTTGCAGTTTCAGAACAAGCTGCTAGGGGGACCAATCGTTTATTACTGACAGGACAAGCTATTTGACACTCAAAAATCAAGACCATAGCAGTACCAACGACAGCCACCAGGAGGTCCAAAATCGTCCTTGATATTTGCCTACCCAACACCTTCCCACATACCAAATATCATTACAATCCATCCAAAGGTTCAAAAGTTATGCTGGCCGCAAATGTCCGGAAACAGAAACACACAGACACACAGGCAGACACACAGACAGACACGCCAAAAACAATACCTCCATTTTTTTCATGGAGGTAACAATTAAATGCAGTTTATGAGCATCGTACTCGCACACGGTTTGAAAGGAACGTGTGGCACGTGGAGCAGATGTAAGGAATGTGATTTATCCGAATTGCAGTAGACGTTTCCGTGTAAACAAGGCTTTAGTGTGTTTGTCGTTAACACATTATGCTGCTCATGACTACAGATACTAAAGTATGATGATTACACATGTAAATGCATTTATGTCATACCTGAGCCGCGATTACGTTCGATACAGTTGTTCCGGCCCGTGTGATAACTAGCGGTACGGCTGGGGGGGGGGGTATATGGTCTGGGCTTCCAAATGCTCCATAGAATGATTCGAACGCGTTTCGCCCTGACTGCGTGAACCGCTTTCGAAAATTCAAATACACAATTTGGTCGTTGGAATTGATATTGTTGCATTTTTTTGGTTTAGGGACACCAAATTTTCGCTCATTTCGCTTTGAAAGGCGTACAACACGGTGTATTCCGCATCACCCTTGGTCCCAGCCCTCCCGCGGATCGGATCTCCCTCCGGCCTTCGGGCGATCCGACCCGCGGTCGGGCTGGTACCTCGGGCGATACGGAATACACAGTGTTGTATTCTATATGTATTCACAGTTTCCTCATCACTATCAAGCAATGACATTACATCAATACCTTTTTTGGACGACATCTCTCGCTTCGTCACTATGCCCTTTTGTTTACGGAGCATCAAGTTGAAACATCCGGCTTCTTGCTGGAAACTGTCAGTTGAAGGCATGTCCTGTTTCTGGGACTTTTTGGAGATGAATGGAACTTCAAAGTCTAAGGCAAGTGATGAGGAAACAATTCTTCTTATAAGTCAGTTCTCAGTCTAAGGCTAGCTGTCGAAGCTCAGTTGCCTGATTCCTATCGGAGCCTAATGTGACCCTCTCAGGCGGATGAATGCTCAACGGTTCCGTATATCGTCTCCCCTTACGGGTTTCCTTCGCACCAACCGATGCTCCCAACTTTCAGTACGTGGATCACAAATTCCTCGCAGAATGCCAACGGGAGTATCTTGCTTCATAGAGGATCATAGAGCTTCGTGCTTGTGCTTGCAAATTAAGACGTTTTCTTTACACAATATCCACTGCACCCAGTTGCCCTTGCTTTTATACACAGTACAATGACGGGGCTAGTCGGCTTGAAACCTTACACATGGCCTTTGTTCCTCATGGATGGACGTGAAGGTGTTACTTCACACCTAAGGCGAACATGTAGTTGCAAGGGTGTACATTGAGTCCTCTCTCCTTGTGTTTTTCTACCCCCATGGCAACGTTTAGGTATGGACTATTGAGTAAGCCGGTTTGAACTGGTCTGACTGGATCAGTTGGTTTCAGTGGGTGAAAACAGACAATTGAGCCTGGACTTTCTGGGGGCGGTATACATAGAGGTCCGAGTTGAAAGCTTATTAGCATGTTCCGCAAAGTACTTTCTAACAAGCCTTGGTGCTATCCTCCGTAGTTTCGGCCCGCTCCCTAATGTCGCTGGGCACCACCACCTCCTTGTCTCCAAGCTTTACGGAGCCTGGCCGTTTCTTCGACATTTAATTTAAGGGAAAGCACCTGAGAATATTAAATCCATTATTTTCCAATGGTCTTTCCCTATTTGACCATTTCACCTCTTGGGTGGCCTTACACACGGGGTACTAGTATGCATTATTAGCCTCCTTTGCAGGCGTTCCGGGATCGGTAGTTGTTGCAATTTTTTTTGTGGGGGGGGGGTATTTTCTGATTAAACGTAGATCACACGCAATAGAGCTCCGGCCGGCAACCCTAGTATGTTATGTTTGTGGCGTCGGGTGGCGTAGTGCTGGAGCGTTCGACTATGAAATGGGAGACCTGGGTTCGATCCCGAGTTGTACCCGGGACATGTCTGGACATGCGCCCGACGTTGTGCCCTTGGGAAAGGCACTTTACACGATTTTCCTCACTCCACCCAGGTGTGAATGGGTACCTAACTTCTGTTGGGGAAAGTCGTAATGCGGTCACCTTGTTGCGCCGAATAGCAGCCGCACAGACCCTTGCGGCAGTTCCACAAATATGTGTAGAGCAAATATGTGTATCATGTGTATCATTTATTTTTTTAATTAGTTTTTCATAAGATTTATCGTTATTGACAATTTCACACCCTATGCTGCAGTGTCAATATTTCTTTTGTCAATTTGCTATAAGGAAAATACAACTGGACATATTGCTACTTCTGTTATTTTGATTTTCTTATAGTCCCCTGTCGTGAAATTAAAAACAGATACCATGAATGACAGAATGTCTAGCCATAGAAAAATGTATTACATCCTTGTACAGCTGCACAGTACTAACAAAGACTCGCACATATTGTCTTTAACTTAAGTTAACCATCTTGGCAGAAGTAAAACGTGACGTGAATACCTGGCTTCACAATATAAAAGATATTTTCTCCTTGTACAGATCCAGCACACAAACTAACAAACATTACTGTCACTGAAAATTTACCGAAATCTTGTAGTTAACAGCTATATCTAGATAACGTTGTTTCCTAAACAAGGGCCAATACAGCGCACATATGCATGCATAAAATGTACAAAAAATTATCCTTAGTTTCTCTATTAAATCCTATCATATTTACAGAACAGACAGAGAAACCAACAAGAGTTCCATGATCTCATACCTTCGCCAGATGATGTTAACATTTTCAACTGAGGAACCGCATTGTATATATCATTCTCATTGATTATACACATAAGATCCTAATTTGCATGAATTATAACAGTTGATCATGTTATCCACCCATCCACCCAACCTCATAAATTATGCAAATGAGGTTCTAATTTGAATGCTATTTGCGATGTTCACCTTCACTTTATATATATAATAACTTCCAAATATGGCCTTTCCGCGCACAATAGCTGTCTCGAACACAAGCGGTGTCTATCACGCACAATTCCCCTAGCATGTTTAGATCACAAAAATATCAAAACCGGAAGTTCCGCTGCAGTACCATTAGTGGACAGTTGGTTATACAAGAGAACTATGTATTTAACTGTTGTACAGGACCTAGTTTTACACCTGCAAAGCAGTAATGGCGATGTTAAGTAACACCACAATAGCGCTCAGATATGTAGCACCTGTATTCATGCTGTTGAGGGAATTTTCTTGTTCATCCCTTGTTTTCTTCGTTTCATTTTGCTGTACTTGTTCTTCATGCTCCGAAGTTGGACTTTTGGTTGTGATTTTTGAATTAGTATTGCAAAGACACACACAACAAGTCCAACTCCTTTCTGTTGTTGTTGTTGTTGTTGTTGCTTCATTTTGCCGATTTGTTTCACTTGCTCTTGAAGCAGCAGTCCGGCAAAAACCACAACAACAGCTCCAATGTTGCGTTACCGCCGAATTTACCGGTGTTGGTGTGGTTCTTTTTCCAAGTTTGTTGATGTCTACAGAACCTTGATAGATGAGTATGACCATCAGAACCACTTGGAGAAACATGGTGATGGCAAGTAACACTACCCTGCAGAACAGAAGGACATAGTCAGCTGACAAGAAGCACCTATATGAAACAGTTTTAATTTGTTTGAAGACTTCGTCGATACATGAAAACCAAAATATATCATAATTAGTGGACACAACAAGGCGAGCAAGACGCAAGATGATTGTTAAAATAAGGAAAAGGACATACGTTGTTTCTCCCAACAAACATTCTGATCTCTTAGTTCTGAACCCTAACATCCCGTATACGTAAATATGAACGGAGGACCCGAAGTCAGTCAAGTGGCTTATGTCCGATTACATTTCCTACCTTCCAATCTCCTGGCCTGTGTCGACACCGCCCGTTGATCTGGTGATCGTCACTAGCTGGGAGATGTTACTAGTGAACAGGCTGACGTCCACCAGGCCCCCGATATAAGTCTTCATGGTGTTGTAGCCGTTCGCGTCTTTGATTCTAATAACTCTATCATCTCCCATCTTTTATGTTTGAAATGAAGTTTCGATAGCTTATAATGTTAAAATGAAAGTATAAGATCGATTGTTCAAAATCGGAAGAACGTGCCAACTTTGTCAGCCACCCTAGCGACGCTAGGACGCTCGCACTTGTGTGTGTCACCTTACGTTGGAACAAAAAACATTTAACTCACGTTGCAGAGTGGGCGTGTTGCTATAGTCACCATACATTGGAACACCGTCAACATTTCGATCACATTACTGACTGGGCGTTTCACCTTTATTTCACCTACCTTAAGCTTCACCTTCACCTTGCCCCAGCCCTGTCATAAAGGTCTTGGACTCTGGTTGTTTCTAGCAGCTTCCTCCATCATTAATATTCCCCAATTCTTAACCATCTGCATACCTGCTTCTTAACCGTTTGCTAGTGACCTGCCTGTCCAGTCCATTGTATATCGTTTCCCAATTATCTCCTATACAAGGCGATTCCTACACTCACGCCAAACGTTTTGGAAGTTCGAGCCATTCTTGGCGAGGAGGGACGTACGTACGGATTAAAAATATTTCTATAAACTACCTTCATTCTATCATTCACAACTGCAAATGCATTAACTACTAAAATTGCTGTCATAGTTCATTTGGAAATTAGCACATCACCCAGCTACGAAAGTGCCGAGTACTTCAAGACTCAATATCGCTGTTGTATGTCTCTGCGTTGTACAGATTGTACAGATACCTATTATACCATGCCTACAGAAAAGAATAACTTCAAGCTGATTATAAGTGGATTTGAAATAGGAACTTCTTTTCACTCACATTTATGCTACGTATGTTATTATAAACCCATGTACGTCAGACTCCCCACTGATCTGAACAAGTCAACAGTTGGATCAAAATGTCTTTAAATTTATTGATACACAAGTATCTGACCATCACCATAACTTTTAGCAATGCATCATTACACAATCTTCAGAAATGTGTACTGTTACTTTTTCACAACTAGCTATTTATATAGGCTCTGTTGTCAGATACCCGATATCCATAACCAACACAAGGACCCATTCAAGACGCCCTTCCTTGGCACCGTTGGCAAGGTAGTGTTTACAATGCCGTATATGTTGTACCTGAACTAGTGTCGCGAGGGCGGCTGGTGGAGTCAACGCGTTCTATGATTTTGTACGATTGATCTTATAATATTTGTCATACCATTACAAACTACCGAAACTTCATTTCAAAACAGAAATGCAGGATCAGGATGAGCAAATAAAAGACCCTGACGGTTACGCCACCAAGAAGACCACTACAGCGGGCCTGGTGGACGTCAGCCTGTTCACTAGCAACATCTCCCAGCTAGTGACGATCACCAGATCAGAGGGCGGTGTCAACACAGCCCAGGAGTGGACAAGGTAGGAAATGTAGTAGTAGAGCATTAAACTGCAGTTCACTGGCTTCGGGTCCTCCGTTCATACAGTAATGCGGCATGGCCAACAAACCTTCAGACAACTTCAAGTGACACGTATCAGTCTCATCGGCTGACTATATGTCCTTCTATTCTGTAGGGTTGTGTTTCTAATCATCTGCATGGTGCTCCAAGTGGCTCTGATGTTCATACTCGGCTATCAGCGTTCCCAAAACATCAACCGTCTTGGAGAAGGTGCTAACGAAATTACAACTACCTTGGGCGCTGCAAATCTACGAAACTACGAAAAAGCAATTATGGCAAAGAAGCTGAAAAGGGACAAAAAAGAAAATAAGCTCAATATGTCGAATTACGCTGCCACCACGCTGAGCACTCTGATGGTATTATTCAACATCATCATTGCTGCTCTGGTTTGGGAAACCCAGACTTGACAGTGGGTGGATGACGTGAGAAAACTTACCTTTATGGTAACTGGACTCAATTAATTCACTAACTTGAATATGTAAAATGCATCCGGACGCTTTTGTGACGAAATAGAAAGTGAATAACAATGCAAATATATGTGCATGTAATATCCTTTCTATTGTGAGGCCGGTTACCTACTTGGCACTTCTACCCGAGATGCCGGGTTAAGCCATACTTTGGCCAAGATGGTTAATAATCCATTGTTTGTTTGTTTGTGTGTTGGTACTGTACAAAGATTTAATATATTTTCTAATGTGAAGCCAAGTATGCAATTATTACTTAGGTCAAAATTATTAGCTACTGTTTGTTGGTTTGTGTGTTAGTTCTCTACAGCTGTACAAGGATGTAATGTATATTGTGAAGCCAAGTATCCACTCATTTCTTCTGGCAAGATGGTTAATCCATTGTTTGTTTGTGTGTCAATTCTGTTCAACAAATATAATATATTTTCTATTGTGAAGCCAACTACCCACTTTTTACCTATGCCAAGATGTATTTAAATGGTTGGTTTGTGTGTGTTGGTCCAGGTTTCACTTGAGAAACTAAGGATGAATTTTTACATTTTGTGAGTGTTGTACCAGCCATTGTCTAAGAAATAATTAGATACATGTATAGCTGTTGACTGAACAATTTCAGTAAACCATTTGCAGTGATGGCCATCAGTGGCAGTATTTGTTGTAAATTACACTGTAGGGAGCTACTTAACGCTCAAAACAACAGGAGTCAGTAATATTTCTCATCTCCTCCGTCATTCCTTTATTTGGATTTCCTCCTCATTTCTCCTAAAATTGGCACATTTAGTGAAGAAACACATATAAAATACCAGCAACATCACTTCTATTGATTTTCAAAGCCTTCCCTGCCACCTGTACACTCTCTGTGATTCTAAATTTTGTATACTTATAAGTCCAGAGCTGTGTGGATGTGTCATCTGCCATCTGTGCTGTTCTGTACTCGTTGTAGAGCCTCCTCCATGGTTAGAACAGGACGTCGATGCTCCTGGATAAACTGTGAGGAAACAGTTAGATATCATCACAACCAGTGTAACAACAACACAGACTGATGTAACAGTTACATTGCAACACTATCAGCTAGTAGCTGCCTGTAATTGTCTTGCTGTGATCTCAATTAGTGCTGCATACCGGTTCACTGGACTTGGATCAGGACTTGTAAGAATGTTTAGGTTCAAGTCCAAAAAAACCTAAAAGTCAAGAACCAAGTCTGGACTCATTACCATAAAAGACCATTTCACATACCCCTTTTCTTTCCAAACCACCTAAAACCTTCCGTAGATTGCAAAAACTTTGCTGCAAAATGAAGAAAACATTGCCATCGGGCATCGTCAAGTACCGGCCTCCATGTTATGTGGCCAAAATTTCACCCAGACAACATTGCAAGGTTGCCAACATGCAATTTTGTATATGCCATGGGTTTAGGTCCGGACTTACAAGTCCTGAACTGAACCTAAACCTCTGGACTTGAATCCGGACCTGAACCTAAATGTGGGTTTAGGTATGCATCACTAATCTCAATAAAGTCAACACTGTCACAAACTGATGATACAAGTGGTGTTCTCATATCAAAGATTTAGGTCTAAGACAGCATCATCTCAGAAACCTAACATTTCATTCGCTCTAGTTTCTAGGGGCAGGACAAAAGGGTACAGAATATTATGGGCTATAAACTTTGGGTGGGCTTTATAGAAATTGAACAAACAATATTGTCAAGTTTGGGACAAGCAAAGGGACTATCACTATCATATATTTTCTCTTTGTCTACTATTTGAACTAAATATGTACTTTCCTTACAGCAGATTGAAGAAAGTAGTTGCAGTGCAGCATAACAGGTAAAGCTGATTTTCCAACTATGCAATAAAAATGAATCTAATGTAAAGCTCATAAGGTGGAACAGATAAGGCCACAGCAAGTAATTTTTATGGATGACATCAGCGCGCGCATTAATTTTTGCCTGATTTTGGGAAAAAAAAAAGAAATTTTGTTGCCCTCTAACAGTGGTCAACATGCCAAAAATGCACAAAGATGTCTGTTGCCATGCCAGAACGTGGATGGCAGAAAACTATGAAGAGAGGAGGCTCTGATTTAATTTTCTTTAAAAATTTGATGCAGTGATATGTGATGCTGGCTGTGTATATGTGATGTTCCCACTGAATCAAAACCATTTGTACAATGATTAAGTCAAAATTTGAAAATGTAGGACCCTTGTTTTTTTGGACCCGCCTTGTTTTTTTTTTCGCCCGATCGCATTAGATTTGGAGTCTGCGGAGGATGTCATCCATAAAATTTACTTGCTGTGGCCTAACATAGAGAAGAGAAGATACCACTCCAGAACAGGGGTGTTTGAGGCTGACCCTACCTGTAGTGTGTCCTGCAGAGTGGTGTAGCTGTGGTCAGCCTGTAGGGAGTTGATGTAGAACTCGTGCAGTCTGCGGGTGTTGGTTACAAACTGCTGCGTTAGCTGCAGCTGCTGCCGCAGTAAGTCATTCAGCGCCAGGACACTGGGACTGTAGCTGGTCATGGCTGGTAAAGGAGATACAGTACATAGTCAAGGTATTTCTAGTGCGTTGCAATTTATGAAAAAGCTTTTGCTTTTGACATTGATGTAATAGTGAAAAAGGAACTTGCACATTGCAGAGATAATTTCCTTTCTCTTGTGACAGAACAACGGCACCTCAATATACATAAAAAGAAAATACATTACAGTCAGGGTTGCTGCTTTCTAGTTTTGAGACTGATTTTTTTTTTTTACTTCTATGTAAGTGTAACAGTTTTCTACTCCAGATGAGAAAGAAAATAAGATTTTTGACTCCTACTATCCTGAAAATTTGCTTAAAAGGTAGGCTTGTTAAACAAAACATTTTAGCTCATTGTTTAAAAATATACTGGAAGAAAAATACTTTCTTACCTTCTAAAGCATCAGGGTTGACAACATGTGTGGCTACTGGTGTGGGGTCTGTGTACCCAGCACCATACTGTGGGCCCAGGACTGCATAACCAGACTCTACATTCAGAAATAAAAACAATTTTATCATTATTACAGCATGCAGGATTTAAGATGGGAGACATGCAATGTTTTGGCTTATGGAACACCATTGCATTACAAATTGCTCCAAGCATTTAGCTATCAAAGTTTCAGTGATGTCAACTGTATCAGTATAACAAATGGCTAATTTTATGGTGTCTTTTTCTTGGACTAAAAGATGTTAAGACTGGTATAAGAAGGATATGAGGAAGCTTGTCAACAACCTCAGCATCTATACCTGCTGTCCACTGGTGTGCCAGTCCCAACTGGTCCTGTACTGAGGTTTGAACGCCAACATCTGAAGCCTTAACAGACTTTCTGGGAGGAGTTCGACTTTTGGTACGGCTTGTCCGACTATCATAGCTATCTGTTAGGGTTCTACTTCTGGTGGACTCACTGTAGGAATCTTCACTGTCTGTCTTCCTAGAAGATCTGCTTCTTCTACTTCTGTCACTCCTTGAAATGTCTGTGTAAGACTTCTCAGACTTTGCAGACTTGCTTGGTGTTTCTGTGACTGTCTGTTCAGAGAATGTCTTAGATGATTCGGTCCCACTTCCCTCTTCAAAGTTTTCTGAATATGTATCATCTGCGAGTACCTCAGCCTCGTGTTTGCTGCCAACTCTTTCTGATATAGACTCTGTTGGCACCTCAGTATCAAAGTCGTCCTCGTAGCTGTGGGCGTCTCCATTTTGTTCTCTTTTTTCTGAAGTTGACATAAGCAGCTCGTCAACAGTGTGTAACCCTTGAAGTTTGGGTCGACTTTGCGTGCTCTCAGATTTGTCGCTTTTGTCTGATACGCTGTGTCCTAGAAGTTCATCTACGGTGTGAAGATTCAGATGTGCACCTATGTTCTCTGAGATTGATTCTGTGACTGTTTTCTCAGATAAACTCTTCTCTGACTTTACTGAGTTGTCATCTTCTAACAGTTCATCAACAGTGTGTAATGTTTGATCTCTAAGCCTGGTGTCAGATCTTTTATCCTCTAAAGGTTTTGTTTTTGTAGTCCGTGGCTTTGGTTTCGGTGCGATGTCCACTGCTGGAGCTAAGTCATCAAGACTCATGATGTGTACGGTTGGACCTAATGGATTTAGAATTACAAAACAAAAAAGAGATGATACATTGCAATGAAAGGCTCATACACGGCGGTCAATTTCTAGCGTAAAGTTTCCAATTCTACGGAAGGGTATCAGGTTACCGGGGTTCCACGCGCGGCTTCCGTGAAGCCAGTCTCAACGGTTAACATTCTGTTAAGCAATAATTAACAGTTTCACGAGGATTCCCTTGTCCAAATGTGATAAAATCAGCACTGCATATACCCCAAATGTTGTTGTTTTTATTACAATGCTTAAATGTGGGTGAAATCACTCTCAAAGCGTCGAATGCTTATTCTAGAACAATCGACGTCAATAACCAAACAACTGATTTAAACCGACCCCAAATCTTCCAGAAAATCCCTCATTTTTGCATTTTAGGGAACAGTATAACAAAATTAAGATTTGAGTCGGACAGTTTTCTTTATTTCAAAGTTAAAGTGTTGCTAAGGCCAAAAAATTCGCCAAAAAATGCACTTTTTCAACTTCAAAGACCGATAATTCCAGAATGCCGCCATCTTTAAAAAATCCGTCCGACACAGATCGAGATTTGTGTCTTGCCTACAATTTAAAACGTTTCTGAGGTAAATTGAATTTGTTTTTGTTGCGGTTTAAATACCATGTTTGCACGCATGTCAGGCAGGGTGAGTAAGTACAGGGGGTAACTTATATCCCAGTAAACAACAATTACGATCGTCAAGGTCACACACGATGACGGCAGTAGCTTCGTTACATGTTACATATCAACTATAAAACAGGGCATAGATGTACTGTCCCGAAATTGGTTTATATTTGTGAAAAACTTGATTTTTTACTGTTAGGCGGTACCCGTGTAAAAATGGGCTTGAAGTTGCGGGTTTACTGTACATGACCGCGGGTGACCCGGGATCGAACGAACGTTCGGTTCGATTGACGTCGTATCGAACATGATTCGATTCGAATGACGTCATATCGAACATGATTCGGTTCGATTAAAAGGTTGGAATATTTGGGCCCAAATTTGACCATCGTGATATACATGTATGTATGATAATACATGTACTATGTACAGTATAGGTATTGCCAAGTAAAAAATGCTGATTAACACCAAAGAGCAAGTCCAAAACGTGATGACAAAAGAGTTACATGATAGATAGCTGATATTGATATACCATTTACTAGTGGTTTGGGTAATGGCAATGTACACAAAATCATTTGCCAATGGAGGAAATTTGACATTTCTATATTTATTAATTAAACACAACACAAGAGACTAATGTGCTTCAAAACTCAAACTGAAGGGTGATAGATATGATACTTCTCACATTATTGCATGGAAACTTCTCTAAAATAGTCATATTTCCGCATGCTGTCAACTTTTTTGTAAAAGGTAACTGACATATACAAAGCATACGAAGGGGATATTCCCTACCACCAACTGACAGACTGTCCTCTGCTATACTCTCTGCCAGACTGGCCTCCTCTGGGACATCACTGGGCAGGAAATCATCCAGAGACTTGGGCTCTGAGACCTGCAGGGGAGAAGGAATGTCACTTTTGAGGCATCAGCTTTATACATGTATGTTGTGGTCACTACAATGAATGATGATGGCCTGTTAACACTCACTCCCCCTTCATCACATTTCCTAATTAAGTTTACCGAAGGAAAACAGTCATATTGTTTTTGCTACATATCTTCTTCTTTTTCCGTTCCAAACACTGACCTCTGGTCTGGCCAATGACCTCATTTGTTGACGTCTGTCACCATGGTAACTGGTGTTGGGTTACATGGGTTACATGATGTTGCAATTTTCTAGTAGGAGGGATTTATATTCCTGTCTGACCATATATATGAATGTTTTTGAGTAAAAATTAACAGAGCAGACCATATGCGAAGGTAAATGTTGCGCATTTGCTTTGCAAATGTTACTTTTCTAGTTTTTATTCTGGGTCCTATCATTTTTATGAATGTAGTAATATTACTACACTGTACTGGTAATGGCACTGGCTCTAATTATTTTTATTTAGCTTTTAACTCTTTCTCTTAATCTTAACCACTAGTGTAACATTTTTTTCTACTGAATGTCAAAATAAGAGTACAAAGTGTTCAAACAAAGTTTAATTAAAAATTTACACTATGTATTTACTAATTAGATAAGATGCATTTGTAACCTGGGAAGTTCAGGTAAATGAAGGTTAAGATATAATATAATATTATTAGGCCACACCAATTTAATTTGTTGCTTCTCGAATCGCCCTGTCCATTTTTTTCTGATTTGCAAAAAAAAAATTGGTTCTAAATTAACTGCAAAATGCTCAATGAAAGACATATTTTGGCCCCAATGGTTGAAGAAAGTCCTTTTCTTCCTAGTTCTTAAAGCTTTTCAATGTAAAAATGCAATTTTTTTTCATTAAAAGTTCAAAATCTATAATTGTTTTAAATATAAACTGGCCTGGTATGTTCACTTCATGGCTCATATTGTAACATTTCCGGTTAACATGGGGTGCCTTGGTCTGTTTTTTTTTCGCCGACTCGCTTAATATTTTTTCTGAAAAAAAAATCTGAAAAACAACAAATTACATTAGTGTGGCCTTATATTGAATTTGTTTGAATACAAATGACACTAACATCTGTACTACTCCTGTGGGAAGAGTGTTGACTGATGGAGGCTGGGGGTGACTCCTGGGCCTGCTGCAGTTTGTGCACATACTGCTGGATGTCCTCGTCGTCACTCTCAAAATGCATCTTGGAAGTGAACTGGAATGTCCCTGGACAAGGTGAGAGATAGATGTTAACTGATTGAAGGAAAGTGAGGTAGACGACTTCTAATCATCTAAAACTTTACAATTTTCTCACAATAGTTAGTAAATGTTAGACACTGCAAGTGTCCAACATTTGCAAATTCTGGTACATGTATTGGGACACAGTATTAGACATTTAGAGTCACACTTCATCATGACTAGTCAGTTCATGTACAAATATATGCCTTTTTTTGCTACATGTATGAAAAGGGCAACAAACAATCTATCATATACAGATCTATCATATACAAAATTTGTTCACATATTTCTTTTAGTTCTTTGGCCAAAAAAGATTACTCAACATACCTCCTCTGTCTATTATGTCATTTTCTTCCTTCTTTGCTGGTTTCTTTTTCAAGAACCTGTTTTCTCCACCAGTGTCCTGTCCTTGTTGTGAGGTCTTACTTTTCTTAAGAAAGCGTGAGCCAGCCCTCCCAGCTTCAGAATCTGGGGTATCTGGCTCTAAGGAGTCTTTAGTCAGTAAAGACTCCTCAGCTGTCTTCTTGAGGTCCTTCCCGGTTGACGACAACTTGGGAGGCTTTTCCAGAAACTTCTTCAAGTCTTGTTCACTGTCAAGGTCAGAGCTGAGACTGAGAGCCATCTCAAGGTCAGAGTCGTCAATCTGAACCTTGGGTTGTCGCTGCATGATTCTCTCCTTCAGTTCTGCAGCTTTTGTGTGATAAGAAAAACAAAATTAAAACATTATAAACAATTACAAACATGTCAATATAACTATAGTTCAAGCACTATATACTTCTAAACAATGACAACTTCAAGTATTAGATAGTTATGGCTGGGGTATTGAAGGTCCTTTGATTGTACTCAGTCTAGTAATAATACCAACAGTCAAGCACCTGGAAAGCTTCTGTGTTACACCAAAATTAATTCATACTTTTGTTTTGAATCTCCCTAGTAAAGGGTGGCTTATTATTGATAGGAAAAAAATTCTAAAATCAACAGAGATCTAAGATCATAAGATATGATGTGATATTAGATCTCTATTGATTTCAGAATATGTCTATCAATATTATGTATCTGAGAAGGAAACAAAGTCAAGACATATTTTAGCATTATTACTAAAACACCCGTCCCAATCAAGTGGGGTCGTGTGGCGCAGCGGTAGCGCGTTCGGCTCAGGACCTAGAGGTCCCGAGTTTGATCCCCACCCATGTCACCGATCTTGTGCCCTTGGGAAAGGCACTTTACACGACTTTCCTCACTTCACTCAGGTGTAAATGAGTACCTAGCTTTGGTTAGGGACGTCCCTCGGATAGGACGTTAAATGGAGGTCCCGTGTTTGGGGACAGCCACACCTCGAGCACGCTAAAGAACCCGCCACACTTATCGAAAAGAGTAGGGGATCTTCCCGGTGTGAGTGGATCAAACATTACAGTCTTGTGTACGTCTTCTACGTACCATGCTTGGAGTCCTCAGCTTATTGAGGTTAAGCACGTAATATGGAAGAAGAATCAAGAAAAGTGATTTTACCTCTTGAGAGAGCAGATGGTCTACTTGCTACTCCTTCTCTTCTCTGTAGTGATGATGTCTCTGCACCACTTGACCCCTGACCCATACTCTTCTGTAAGGACTCTTGCGTGCCCCCGTTCTTTTTCGGTTTCTTCTTGAGAAAGCGGCTGGCTCCTCCCGTGATGTTCGTCTTGCCGTCTCCGCCATCGTCAGACTTGGACTTGTCGCTGAGGTCACTGCTGGCCTGGGTAAGGTCAAAGGTCTTCTTCTGTGTCGTTTTCTTGTTCAGACTGCTGAGGTAGGCCTGGGGGTCGAGGTTTGGGACAGAACAGATGATATAATGTTAAATTGTATATTTGTAACTATCCCCACATACTACTGCTTGTACAATATTTTATGAGACCTCCTTTCTTACATTTTGTATATAAGGATAATACGGATGATAAAAATTATGCTAATTAGCAGTATGTGATGAATAACCACACTTCAGCATAACACATCAGTTTAAAGGAATCAGGTAGGAACTGTGAAATTCTAATTTGGCCAGTCTTCATTTGATATTTAATATTTACTTTAATAATTATCAATATTGGATATATAAGGTTATTTTGCAGGGGTCAATCTCTGGTATTTGGAAAGTGCAACGTCCCTCCAAAGTTGTTAATGGGCTTTCCCTCACTCACGACATTAGTTGTGTTGCCATGGTAACGTGTAGCCACATCCGGCAATCATCACGAATTTTTGACCAATCACATGCTTCCACAACAGCGGCATGATCAAGTAGATATTGCGGCTGACTTATTTATCGATCTACTAAAGCTAACTATCAACTACTAACCGTTACCTACTACCGACGAAGTTTGTGATATCAATTCTAAAGATACAAATGATCGGTATCTAGTCGGTTTATAATTTGGTGATTTTTAACTTGCAAACAGCAAACCCACTGTTGGTGTTACCTTTTGGGCTACGCAGAAAAAATTTATAACTTTTTACCTTGAAGATACTATAACGTTAACGTTAGTACCTTGAATCCTAGGTGAATCCTTGAATCCTAGGTGATCATGTTACAGGTATTTCTATTTGGTGTTGACAAAGATCACATAATTTGGAAGAATGTACACAAACGTACGCCTAACTCCTGATCACTGGACGCCTCGGACGGGGCAGAATCCTGGTCATCGTACTGGAAACTGGCTCTCGTTGAACCGCCGCCCGAGCGTACCAAACTGCTCGCGGCTGGCGGCGGCTTTTCTCCCCGTAGCTGAGCCCTCGCGCGCTCGAGAACGGACGACGTGCCGACTCCAGGTCGTCTCTGAAACATCTTGACCAAAATCGACCTCCAACTTATCTCGGATTTAAACGTTTACGACTTTTCAATTTGTAAACAAACAAACGTCGCCAAAAAAACTTCAACGGCAGCCATTTTGAATATCCCGTCATGCACTAGCGCTGGTTGATTGAAACTTTGGAGAAGTTAATATTAACCAAGTCATGAATATTAATCAGATAGAAGCGTGGTGCGCGCTGATTGGTCTAGCCTGAGACACGCCCCAGCTGACCAATCAGAGACAGCCATCTGTTCGTGCGGTCACATGGTACCAGCCATCACTTACCAAGTGTGCGATTTCCGCATTCTGAGACGATTTAGCACATTATAAGGTCGGTTTACCTGGCTATCTCGGAAAAAATGAAGCTTTTGGTGCTTTTCGCTACATTCCTCGGCCTGTCGTTGGCGGATCCGACTGTCTACTTGGATGAGCGGTTTGCAGACGGTAAGATTTGAGCGAACACTGTTGGGAGCCGGGGGGAGGGGTGGTGGGGGGAGGGCGCCGGATATATCAGCAGCTTTCCTATCAAAACCTCGTGTATCCTCATATATCGTACATTTACTAATGTAGGACTAACGGAAGATAGCAGATATACTGAAATTTGTAGTTCTCTATTCAAACATGCAGTATGATAGTCTTAACACGAAGTAAATACATGCACAAGATTGGCTCAAAATCCGGTATAATTTGATTGGTATCAGTTCTCCAGTAAATCCTTTTAATTTGAGCTGGGAACATATTCAAAGCACAAAATAGCTTTTTAGTGAATTCCGGTGCTTGATTCCTCATCTACTGATAGCTTCAACTTTGTAAATTATGATTTCTAACATGACTTGCTCCATGTTCTAAAGGCATCTTTAATTTGGTTATCTGTTATGCGGTCATTGATTGGTTCTGGGATTTGTTACAGCAACAGAGCAGAGTGTGTGTTTAAGAATTGGTTTCAAGAGTCTTGAAAGATCCGTTGAAAAAGTAGGGTCAAATTGCGAAGGCTTGAGCTCAAATACTTGAGGAAAAATTTGTCTGCTTGGGCAGAACACTTCCTTTTATATGCAAATTGCTTCATTAGCAATCCGCAATCGATCATCCGCAATAAGCCTATGCATTGTACTCACAAAATTTGCATATTGTTATCACTAAGATATTGCCATGATTAATTTATTAATTGATGATAAAGGTAGAGAAGCCATATAACTATTATACATGACATGTATATGCACTTATAAAATTTATAGAGCTACAGCCTTCATAGAACGTGTTACTCAAGGAATTACAAAAGATAAAATTATGTCAGGAACTTGCAAAAAATAAAGCAATGCAATGGCAGGTGCTATTATAACAATGCTCCCTTGGGAGTCTCTGGATTGTGCACGTGTAATTTTGTGAATTAACAGATGTTGGCTTCTGTGTTGACTTAAAACAAGTTGAAGCTTTGTTTGGTTAAGGTATCAGCGTTTTCAGATGTTGATAAACTTAATTGGTTACCAGGTGGAAAAGGTGGGCGTGTCTGTGCAAATCCATTTTTTGTAGTATCAGCTCTTAATTTTGCAGAACTTAATTAAGTCTGCTGTCTGGTTTCATTTAAACTTTTGAAGACTAAGCTTAAGTTCAATCCTAAAATTCTAAGGACTAGCTGGATAGTCACTACAAAATTTTAAAATCAAGTCAAATTGTTGCATTAAAGTAATAAAAGCCATTTACTAATTTAAAAGAAACCTTTTCCCAGTCATGGTTCTTTGTCATGAATATTGCTGCTTGTCTTAAGCTTGATTTAATAACATAATTGCATAATTGATCTGACCTGCCCCCACCCACTGTATGAATGAATGTGTCCTTGTCTTCTTGTGACATCATCACAGGAACCAGGACAGTCTATTATGTTAGCATTCCAAACTTCATAGGACAGGGCCACAATTTAGTGATGACTATATGTACAGAATTCCCTGTACAGGACCAATACTTTGGAGGTTTGGAATGGTTTAGTTGCAAAATTGATATACAGATGTACATGTATAACAAAGGATGAAATAAATGCTTTAGTACTCATTTAGCCAAAAATTAGTTGCAAAAAGAGGGAAAAGTATAGCCCTGGGTGCCATTCTCCGTAGTTTTCGCCCGCTCTCTAATTAGCCAGCGACATTAGGGAGTGGGCGAAAACTACGGAGGATGGCACCTAGGCTAGGAAAAGTACTGAAGACTTCACATTGTCATTTCAATTGTCATGAATCTGTGATTCAGCCAATAGACTGCTTGGGATTTTATCCCAAATAAACCATTGATCATCATCATTGTCATAGGATAAATGTTGGTAAACTTTATTGCATAAATTCCTTATTTTAGAGGTTTTTATACAACTAGTAACTAAAGTTGTTTCTTTGCAGAGGCCTGGAAGGACAGATGGGTGGAGTCCAAGGCTAAGGGATCTGATGCCGGCCCCTGGAAATGGTCGGCTGGCAAGTTCTACGGAGACGCTGACCTGGACAAAGGTACGGAGAAACATCCTTGGACTTCACATGTCAATCTGCCAATAGGGTAGATGGAATGAAGTAGGAATATTTGAACCTTCTCCCTGTTAGGCCATGTTGATTTGATTATATGGATGACATCCTTCGGGAACCCCAAAACTGATGCGCGCGTGCGAATAAAAAAAAAGTTTGCAAAAAAAAAAAGTTGCTTTCACTATGAAATCTACGTGGTCATGAAGGTTGAACAAATGGCACAGAATATGTTGTGGCGAATAATCTACTCTTCGAATTCATTTCTTTACATTTTTGTCTTTTTTCCTTTGATTTTGGCATTCTACGACATTGGTATCGTTTCTAAATGTTTTCCTTGCAACTTATGGTATATTTTTGCTCATTTAGCAACTGTTTTGCACGATTTACAGTATGGTTGAAAACTTTTTTTTTTTTGGAAACGGCCGAAAATTCATGCGCGCGCGGATGTCATCCATATAATCAAATCAACATGGCCTAATGGTTAAATAATGTAGTAGTTTGACTAATGTTATCTGGAAGTTTTGGGAACGCCAAAGGAGCGGTGTCTGTTACAATTTTCTTTTGTAATATTTCACATGGATGGTCTAGGTGTAATGATGAAATATGACACAATATTGAATGATAAACAAATGTGGGATCTCCCCATTAAGTCTGAGTGAAGAGGTGCTCTCTAACTGGTTGATGAAAAGTCAGCAAATTTTCATAAGATACAAGATAACTTTTGAACATTTTCTTCTTCCTTGTTATGCCCACGTTCATCTTGTGTTGAACATTATGGCAGTCCGAGGTCAGAGGTTTACCGCATACTCAGGTCACAGAAGTTCACTGCATGTGTGTTAACCGTTGTCCAAAATCATATCCGTGTACTATAAGCGCAAAGTCGTCACCGGGAGGGTCAGTCCATTGTGTGTAAGACAAACTCAAATCGCGGGGGTGCGATTTTGTGGATTTTGTGGTCAATTTGAGGAGGTGTGCTAGGATTTTGGGGAGAGGGGGAGCACCCTTGCTTCATTGCTTGGGGAGAGCCCTGCAAATGGTTTTGTTTTCTTTACTGAGCTGGTTTTGATCATATTATCATCAGGTATCCAGACTGGACAGGACGCGAGATTCTACCACTTGACTACCAAGTTGGAGGAGGGCTTCAGCAACGAGGGGAAAACGTTAGTTCTGCAGTTCACCGTCAAGCACGAGCAGAAGATTGACTGCGGCGGTGGCTACATCAAGCTGCTCCCATCGGACTTCGACCAGAAGAAGTTTGACGGAGACTCTCAATACCACATTATGTTTGGTAAGCCTGTAACAAGGTGTTTTTTTCTAAGGCCACACCAATTTAATTTGTTGGTTCTCGGATTTTTTCAGAAAAAATATGAAGCGACAGGGCGAAAAAAAAAAAAACAGGTCTAGGCATCCTATTATGGCCCTAAATGCTGTGAAAGGAGACATGAAGTCAACACAAAAGGCTGGGTTAAAATTTAAACAATGAATTTCTAACTTTTATTCAAACCGCTGCATTGACAGATGGGAAAACTGTAACAACTAGGAAGAAAAGGACTTTCCTCATCTGATGGGGGCAAAATTTGAGCATTTTTGAGTTGATTCAGAACCAGAATCTTTTTTTTTTTTTTTTGCAAATCAGAAAAAAATAAAGAGGCGAATCCGAGAACCAACAAATTAAATTGGTGTGGCCTAAGCAACAGAATGAATATTCTAGAAGCTGATTTTGAAATTATAGCAGAAAGTTTTGTTTCAGTGTTATTAGCCATTATGGCCATAGATGGACTAAAAATCAGTAGATGAGGCAAATAGATTTTTTTGTTTCAGTGTTATTAGCCATTATGGCCATAGATGGACTAAAAATCAGTAAATGACGCAAATAGATCTCTCTGGTTATAGTTTAACATAGATTTGTGTTTTTCTTTATAGTAATTTCAACCTTCTTGGTGATTATGGAATGGAATTTATGTTTTACATTTTTCTGGGTGTCTTCTTTTTTTTTAATGTTTGAGTCTATGTATAGGTGTATTGTAATTTTGTTGTGCCCTATACCTTGTGCAATGCAAGTGAAGTGCAGACTCACCACTACAAGGTCTTGGTGTTCCTTTGTTCCATCTTGTGCCCATCATTCCTCGTTCATCTTTTTGCTCTCTGCACTTTTGGTCCTATCTCCACCTCTCTAGTAAGCCATACATGTATGTTAGTTATGTCTTACACAGTAGATTGTGACGTCTTTTTGCAAACTAGTTATTTGTGCTTAGACCAGATTGTCATGAAATAAAACCTGGCAAAGCTACTTCGAATACCAGGTCCAGGTATGCATCAGGAAAAAGAGTAGATTTTAGTTACAGTAAATATTAATGATATAAGATGTTCAATCATAAAACTAAAATGGTAGGACAGAATGGCATAGCTTTTTCCTGTCTGCTATAGTACAGGGAAAAACACATACTTCCAATCCAGCTGTCTTCCACCTCTAAACTCTGTCTGTCCGCACCTATCCAGGCCCAGACATCTGTGGATATGATAAAAAGAAGGTCCACGTAATTTTCCACTACAAGGGCAGCAACGTTCTCATTAACAAGGACATTAAGTGCAAGGTGAGGCTGCAATGCACGCACGTGCCACAAGGGGGCATCCATAGCTGTTGCTGTCAGAGATGAAAACTTTTTAAAAAAATTATGAGAAAAGAAAATCCAACTATTTTGGCACATCAAAATATATAAAAACCCAAAATTGTTTCTCTACACCAACAGCTCTTGGTTGCTGCTCCAACCCCCCCTTACTCCCACCCCCCTTATTTTTGTTGATGGACTGAATTACCCCCTGCAGGCCCTGACATCTGTGGTCCTGGTACAAAGAAAGTTCATGTCATCTTCAACTATAAGGATAAGAACCACCTCATCAACAAGGACATAAGATGCAAGGTTTGTATATTCTGGTTAGGACTCCACGGAGGATCTGTTGACAGACCCTAGAAAAACATCTATAAAGCTTTACTTTGTATTAAAGGAAAGCAGAACTTAATCTGAATTTAGGTTAAGATTGTCTGTAACATTGAAGTTAAACCTACACATGTCTCTGTGTGTAATTGTGAGGTGTCATTTAATCATATTGGCAGATATAGTAAAAAGAAAGTCTGGAGTGTCGCCAGTATAACCATTCTTTACCAGGTAGCAGAGTTTTTGGGGTATTGTATTGTCAAGACTAAATTATAACATGTTAACATAGGAACTTTCCTCAGTTTTAGATTTGCCAAGTAGAATTTGTAGGTTCAATGTTTACTTGGAGTTGCTCTCAATTTTCCTGCCAATAGTCAAGTGTTGAAATGACAAGACTTCTATGCAATCCTATTCAGGGTTTTTTCTAGAAAAATTTAGCATGAGGGAGCAGATCGCAAGCATGACAAGGAACGAAGCGACCAAGGGGGTATTTTTTAATAAGAGTGGCCACTTAGGGTTCAATCTGAAAATTGGTATGAGGGAGCTGGCTGGTTACATGAGGGAGCAGCTCCCTTATTCCCCTGTTTAGAAAAAAAACTGCTATTACAAATCGTAAGTTGGCGCTTACTAAGCATCATGCTTTTCCCCTTTAGGACGATGAGTTCACACATTTGTACACGTTGATCGTGAAGCCTGACCAGACGTACGAGGTCAAGATCGACAATAAGAAGGTGGAGAGCGGGAGTCTGGAGGATGACTGGAACTTCCTCCCCGCCAAGAAGATCAAGGATCCCGACGCCAAGAAGCCGGATGACTGGGATGAGAAGGAGTACATCGATGACCCCGAGGACACCAAGCCTGAGGTACTGTACAGTTGGAAATATTTGTGTGGGCAAAGTCATGACACTGCAGTTATGTAATCATTGTATCACTACTGTACAGCAGAACTGGTTCAACTGCAAGTTTTTAAAAAACACAGTGAAAATCTCCCATCATGACATCAAGTTCCCTCGAAAATAAGTAGATTTACAGCACATCACTGCTTTAAAGGAGATGTTTACATCTTATACATACCTAGCCTTGAAAAGTTGGGAGTTAGATTGATGACCGAAGTATGAAAAAAAGCAAAAAGTATTTCCGTACGAAACCTGAGAAAAGTCCATTCATGTTTTGAGGTCTTTTTCAGAGTTGCTTTTAAGAATGTGGCAATACTGTACTTTCAGTTTGTTTGTTAAAGTCAACTTTTTCATTTTACAAAAGTATTTTCAGATGAAGAATGTGAATAATATTTTGCAATACTCATTGACATTTGGTAACACTGCCAGTAGCACCATGTTTGAGATAAGGGCACAGTACAGTAATAGGGCTTTCCTATGTTAATATATGGGAATTATGTCAAAACAACGTGGTCAAAATTTATATACCTGAGTTTTAGACCTTGAAGAACATACATTGGCAGGCTAGTCAAACCTCTCAAGTCTCCATTCACCAAAAATGAAAAAATCCTACGCACCTAAACCATGCGAGAATTCTATCCGAACATTGAGAAGTGACCCCTGACCCCTCTGGACAGCTGATGACCGCATGTAAACCTATGTCTTCTTCAGCCAGCCAGACAACACAAACATGGCTGCAAGTCTGTTTTTTTTTTCACCAAAATGAAAATACTACAACCCTTACCTATAACATCCAGAACAACAACATTTCCCAAGAAAAAGACTTCTTTACACTCTACATTACATTGCCATCTCTATATACTAGAACTGGGCCCTCTGCGCCTGCGTTATTACTGACCTATAACCCCATCCTGTGTTCCCCCTGTAGGACTGGGACAAGCCTGAGCACATTCCCGACCCTGATGCCACCAAACCTGAGGACTGGGACGATGAGATGGACGGGGAGTGGGAGCCGCCCATGATCGACAACCCTGAGTACAAGGTGGGCGGGATTCTGTACATCTCTCACAAGGATACAGAAGCACATCAGCAGAACGTAACACACCTGCACGAAGCACAGATATTTAAATGTTCTTGTTGGATGTTTGGTCAAAATTTTGCTTGTTGCAAAGGATATCTTTTCCGACACAACACTTGAAAACTCTAACATCTGTGTCCATGATATCACCAGGGTTCATAATATCGCCACCTTGAGAAAAAGTGTGCTTAAAGATATTTTTACTGCAACATACTTTTGGTATGCACTCCTTCACACATCAAATGTACATACTTAGGGTATGTTGCAGTAAAAATATCTTTAAGCACACTATTTCTCAAGGTGGCGATATTATGGACCCTGGTGATATTATGGACACAGATGTTAGATGGGATGTCATCTTTAAATATGCAAATATGACCTTAAAAGAAATGTTCTGCCAAATGTGAAAAATTTACTGCATAAAAAAGATAGCAAAGGGGTGTACAGTGAAAATCATGCATTAGACCGAGGAAGAAGTAGTCTTTTTGTGCAGGTTGCTTAATTTGTTTGCGTCTAGGTTGTTGTTTTGGCCAGGTGGCTGCTTAGGCAGGTTTGACTGTATTCACAAGGGTTTTATTGCTTTAGAAGTTTGGCTAAAAAGATTTAGATAAAAAGATTTATTTTTTACTACTTTATCTTTAAGAGAATGGTCTTGTCGAAAGAAACAGTCTGACCAGATGGAATTTTCCGTTGACAGGGTGAGTGGAAGCCCAAACAGATCAAGAACCCAGGGTATGATGGGAAATGGATCCACCCGGAGATCGACAACCCAGAATACACAGCAGACGACAAAATCTACAGATACGAAGACATCGGCGCGGTTGGCTTCGACCTGTGGCAGGTACGTTGTGTCGTAGGGAAACATTACGTATGCGTACGATAGAGCAACAGATGCTTGACTTGGTGCTACAAACATTCTCTGTTAGACTAAGCCTTTCTGTAGTGTCTGGTGACAGTTTTAGATCTAAGCAACTGTAACTGTAAGATATTATAGGTACTATCCACTACTTTTTAGCAAGAGACTGAAGAAACTGCAGGAAGGTAGTGAAGACTGTGAAAGACGTGACCGTTTTCAAAATCTCATCACCTGGATGTCTACCCTTCATTGATATAACAAAGATAGTTACAATGAAGTGTCAAAAACATGATAACCTCTATAAATCGCAACATTTTTCAGTTGTGTGAACGTCTTATTAGCTGACACTTTTATTCTTTCAATAGCTAGCATTAAGGAATCAAGAGACCAAGACTTGCACTAAAGATTTGTTCCTCAAGTGAAATTTTCTTCCTCCGTTCCAGGTGAAATCAGGCACAATTTTTGACAACATCCTGGTCACAGACGACGCAGACCATGCGGAAGAGGTGGGCAAGGAATTGTGGGAAAAGACAAAAGAAGGGGAGAAGAAAATGAAGGACCAGCAGGATGAGGAAGAGAGGCAGAAAAGAGAGGAGGAAGAAAAGGCCAGGAAAGATGGTGAGTTAGGATTCTCTTGAGGTTCTCTTAGTCTTACCTTCAAGATCTTACAAGTATGCCCAGCACAAAAGTTTAATGTACTAATTGTTTAATGTACTAATTGGTAGCTACGTGATATTTCAAAGAGAAAAGAAACTTCTTTGTCAAAGAGCAAAGGAAAGGCATGTGAGATGTAGTAGCAGTGCCATCTAGCAGATGTGATAAGCACTGCACAGCATTTGGCATACTGCATTATTAGTCATAGAATTTTCTCCCTTTGGCTACATTTACATTGTAGTATTTGTTGTGTTGCTAAGGCAGCTGAGATTGTATGACACAAGGCTTGAC